TTTTTTTTTTAAAACTTTTCTATGCTGAGTCAACTTACATTATGTCCTTGAGAAACAGACAAGTTTCTCTCTTTCTGGGATAGATCTTCCCTCTTGCTAAGATAACAAGTCAGTGAATGAAGCAAGAAGGCTTGGAAATGAGAGTCTCTGAAGAACTACAAAAATGAGATGTTGTTACCTAGAGCCAGACAGGTAAATGGTACTCCGAACACACATGGTGCAAGATATTTTGCTACCCACTAAGAAGTGCAAGAGTCAAGGTAAAAGAATATACTCCTAAATTTTCATATTGGGCTATGTCAACTCAGTGTCATTTAATTCCTGCCTTAAAAAAAACCCTAATGGTTATATGGTGCTTCCTCAGTACCAGGCACTGTTCTCGGTACTTTACAAATATAACTCAATGGAGGCCTGAAAACAATCCTTTGATGTAGGTACTATTGTTATTCCCATTTGGCAGATGAGAAAACTTGAGGCACAACAAAGTTAACTTGCCCAAGATCACACAGGTTATAAGTGGAGGATCAGAGTACAGACAAGCTCCTCCAGAGCCTGTGCCGCACTACCTCGAGTCCCTTGATCATTATAATTGTAACATACTCAGCGAGTGTCTCCTAAATGCACTGTGCTCAGTGTGTGGCACCTAATAATTCATTTCATCTCACAATAACTTAAGAGAACAGTGATATTATGCCTACTTTATAAAGAAAAGGAGACTCAGAGGCTTAAAATAACCTATCCATAGTCATGAAGCTAACAAACGGCAGAGCCGAAACTTAAACGAAGGTTTATCTGACTCCAAACCCCACCTTCTTTCCACTAGACTGTCTCCTTTCAAGGACTGGCTTTATTAGAGAATAAGAGCACAATGAACATCCCCCTAACAAGAATAACCAATTCCTCTTTCTCTCTACATCACTCATTTCCCTTCTTAGACTCCTCAGTGCTCCAGTAACCAGAGGCCATTGAATAGACCCCAACTCATGACAACCCCATGTGTGTCAGAGCAGAACTGTTGCTCACAGGGTTTTCAATGGCTGCTTTTTTTGGTAGCAGATCGCTAGGTCTTTCTTCTGAGGCGCTTCTGGGTGGACTTGAACTTCCAGGCTTTTGCTTAGCAGCCGGGTGTATTAACTGTATGCACTATCCAAGGACTCTCAATGCCCCATAATCACCTCTTAGTCCAAACAGCATTTCTCAAATCCATTTTTCCAGATGAGGAAACTGAAGCACACGGTTTCTTTTTCAGGGTTTCAGACTTCATATGCAGTGGAGCAGGGCAATTTAATTCCACCTCCCTGTTCTTACTGCCTGACTACTGCCTCATATTTCCCCTATTCATCTGCCCCAAAGTCTCTCCCCTTGAAAGGCAAAGCCCCACTGCAACATAAGCAAAGCTATTTTCTTTGTACTCTGTCCCCACTATAATCAAAATTAAATATAGTGAACTCTCTTCTTTCTAAAGGAGATAACTAATCCAATTTATTATCAAGTCAGAGCATTCTCAGACTTGGCCCATAAAAGTGCGAGTGTTTGGGAAATCCTACCAAGTACTTCAGGAATGACACATTAAACAATACACATCAGGCATAACAACTTAAAAACATTCTCAACATGAAAAGGAGGAGCTGGAGATGGCCAGGACTTAGGCTCTGACAGCACTTGGCCAGGAGTGGTAAGTGGAAACCAACCTAAAGGAAGACCAAGGATAGGAAGAGAAAAATTGTAGGAAGCAAATCTGGAGTTCTAATGAGTTTAGCCACGAAGGGAAGGAGTAGTATTAAAGGAGATGATAAGATCCAGTCAGAAGTTTTTCCTCCTCCTTCTATAAAAGAAAGTTCCTATTTATTGCTCGGTATCTGACATATAGTTAAGTAGTAAATAAACATTAGTTGATTCAACACGATAGCCAAGTTTTCTGTTGTATTTATTTTTTTCTTGTGAAACTTTAGTTTATAGCTGCCTCACCTCTTTTGTGGAAAGCAGTAATAAATCAAATCAAATGAATATAGTCTCCAAAATCTGGAGATATGAATAGATACAAATAGAAGCTAAGATATGAACAGAACAGAACCCATGCATCCTTGCAAAGAAAGCAGCATATACGGTAGAAAGAGCACCGGATTTGGAGTCAACCTAGATTCAAATCTCAGCACCATCTGTAGGTGGCTGTGTGAACCTGGGACTCTATTATGATCCCCAATTTCATCATTTGGAAAGGAGGAATACTGCCACCCTCCTCACAGAGCTGTTGGGAAGATTAAATGGCAATGAAAGCTCTTTGTAAATACTGTCTGTGTTTTTTATTTTTGCATCTTCTGCACCAAGAGCAGAAATGGCATGCTGTAGGAGCTCAATAATACAAAGTGTATGAAAGTGCAGTGGTAAGCATACAGCAAACACTAGGAGGGGAGATTATGATGGAGGCAAATGAAATGAAGAAAGATCTAGAGTGTGACTTGGTGTTGGGTGTGCTTTCACAGAAGGGAGTATTCAGTTGTTCTTAGTCTTTGAAATGAAGAATAAAGATGTAGCATGCTACCTTTTCAAGTGAGCAGGAAAAATCCCTGGAAGAAAAAATAATGGAGAGCTAGCGGTTCTTGGAGAGAGATTCGGAGAAATAACTGGGTTTTATAACAAGATACCTTTTTACCAGAGTTGTAAAGTGGAAAGAACAAAAGAATGGTTAGGATTTCAAGACACAGGGTTGGAATCCTGGCTCACAAGTATGACCTTGGGCAAGTTACTTAACAAATCTACAGTCTAAGTTGCGAAATGTAGATAACACCTCGTAAGGACTGCTGTCAAGAGTAAATGAGATAATGGAAAGGAAAGCTATTAATGCGATTAAAATAACAGGTATTATTAAGAGTTAGATTCTCCACCCACTTACAACACAGTATGCCCATGACCTTGGGTGTGATTTCAGTTCTTCGCGCCTCGGTTTCCTCATCTATAAAATGGGCAGGATGATACCATCTACCCTATATCAGTTTGAGGATCAAATGAGACATCACGCCTTGAAAAACTGTACAGTGCTATAGGTATATAAAAAACTGCCATCGTGAAGTTTTTTGCTTGTCAAGGGACGTGTTTATGCAGAGAAGCACGTATTTTTTACTATACAGGTGAGGAAGCCTCGCGTGCATCTGTGCATCCAAGAGTGGGGCACAGGGCACAGACGCACATCTAAGGATTCCGGGGATGTGACTTGCACGCTTGGAGAGAGGACCGTAGGACAGGCTGCTGGGCCAGAAGCAGGGGAGTGGGCACTGGAGTGGGGGCAGGGGGACGCAAGATGCTCGGATGGGAAAGGCTAGGGGCACAAACACGCATGCCCAAGCCGGAAACGTTGTCGGGGGAGAGCAATGCGCATCCCCGGAATGATGGGGGTGGGGAGGGATGCGATGTGCAAGCCCGGAGGGCGGCCCGGGGGTGCGATACCGCACGCCCGGCGCCAGGGCTCTTTACCTTGTCGCTGTAATCCCTCAGGACCCGCTCGATAGCCCCCGCCTCGCCGGCCCGGACGATGTAGAGGGCGCGCTCCTCATCCATGGCCGCAGGTGCCGGGGAGCCGCGGCCGCTCTGCGCGCCCAAGCCGCTTCCTCCAGGTATACGCCTCGCGCCCCCGCTCGCTCGCTCCTTCCCAGCTTCCTTCCTTCCCTCCTTCCCTCCCTCTCTCCTGCCTCCGCCCGGGCAGGCCCGACGTCACCGCCCCTCAACTTTCACCCTGCGACGTCACCGCTCCCCCAGCAACCGGCGCCTCACAGCCGCCCCCGACAAGGCCCAGGACTCGAATGGAGGCCTGGAGAACGGCCTGAGGCGGGGTCAAGCCCGAGGCGCTGTTTGCTCTTCTGCCTCTCCCTGGGAGAAGAGTCCAGCCTCTTAATTAGACTTTCACAGATAGAAATGTTCTTCGATCCTGACCCTCCTCTATGAATCATTCTCAGCGGATAAGAGCGTCTGGGCTCTTCCCCGCCCATCTATGAGCCCTCAGCTATATAGACTACAATTCCCTGCATGCAATGGGGGTCATTCCATTCTTCCACCTAATTTACTGGAGTGTCGAATGGCATGCCGGGATTAGTAGTCATCCTGCGGGAAAGACTTCCCTCCAAAGGCATGCTGGGAACTGTGGTCCTGCGAGGGCCGGAAACGGGAGTCCGCGGCCGCCTGAGGCCAGCGACTGAGAGACCGTTAGGGGGAGGGTCTAAGGTCCGTTCTGCCTCGTTTTTGTTCCTTACGGTGCTGGTTGTCGTGCCCCAGCTTGGGCTGGTTGACCGTCCCGGAAACTGGCACCCTTTGGTAGGAACCGTCAAGCACCGGTTCAATTCCCTCTTTTTTCATTTAGCGGTTTCGGTCTCTATGAAATCCTTTTCCTTCCTCCCCTATTTGCGGTCAGATTATGTATACGGCTACCGTAATGAGGGAAATTGCAGGCAGTTTATCTGGATAAAAGGAGACTCCGGGATTTTTTGCCTTAATAATCATCGCTGTCCATTTATCCAGAGTCTGTGTTAGGTAGTTTCCGTATAGCCTCTAATTCTCACAACGCAGACTTAGGTGGAACCAAAGGGAACCTGACTCGGATAGGTTAGGTAATTGTCCTAAGTCACATAGCCAGTAAATGGAGAAGTCGAGATTTGAATTCAGAACATTCTCCAAAGGCGGCTGGCTGCTCTACAACCACCAGTGAAAGTGGTAATACTTTTATGGTAGTGATGATGATGACGATGATGATGATAGAGGCTCAACGTGCCAGGCACTCTTACATATTTTAGCTGTATTATCTCAGTTTCTCCCAAACTCATTTAAATATTTGAGAATTTATGCTGTGCCAGGTACGGTTCTACAGAATGTGAATACAGAAGGAAAAAAAAAAAAAACCCCGTTGCTCTTGAGTCCATTCCGAAAATAAAGTCCCTGCTCTCGTTGAGTTTTTCTAGTGAGCAACCCTTTGAGGGAGGCATATTCATTTTAAAGTGAGGAAACTGAGTCTTGGAGAGGTTAATAGATTTATTTGCCACGATTGCAGAATTTGGAAGCTGAATTTAAACTCAGAGCCCGGGCTCTTTCTGCTCACCGAGATGTTTATTAGGGAGTGGACGAATTCTTCAAGTAATTTCCAGTTTTACACTCCAAGCAACCTTTACCAGAAATCATCTTTGACGCCTGCCCTGCTCCCTCTCGCTCTTCAGCTGTACTGAAGAACTAGAGAGGGCAAAGATTTATTCATCTAATAATTATTGAGTTTCTTCTATGTGTCAGATACTGTGCTAGATACTGGGGATTTGGAGATAACAAACATGGCACCTCAGTTTATGGAGCTTTTGGTCGTTCTGTGGATTATATATTTCATGCAACAAACTTTTTTTTAAAAACATATTTATTGAGCCAGGCATTAGGGTAGGTGCTGTGTCTGTAATAAATTCATATTTTAACCCTTCTCTTGAAAAAACACACTTCTTAAAAAGGTTATGGAATAGAAAGTCGTATCTTTAGGTAATGGTAATATCTTGTAATTAGTTTTAACAGTTTACAAAACATTTTAATATACATTATCTCAATAGATCATTGAGGAAGTTATTGATACCACTTTATAGATAAGAAAACTGAAGCTCAGATGAGTTAAGTAACATGAACTGGGACTCAAACTGAGAGCTATCACATAACAAAGTATTTAGGTATCCTGTGTCTAGTACTGTGTCAAGTGCTTTTTGGGTAGCCATGTATTTATTTTTGGTACAAGGGCTCCCAGAGAGGATATTAACAAGCATAAAATATCTGAGTAGAGAATGTTTCTTTTAAAAAGTGTCTTACACATGTTGTGTTGAAAGTGTCTATTTACCAGAAATAGGCTACGTTTTTAAACTACAATTCTGTACTTCTAAAAAAGAGATTTAAAAATCATGAAACTACATGAATTAATGTCTTGGGAAATTGCACTGTAGTAATTTTAATTAAGCATTAATATTCTGATTTTATAGATCAAAAGGATCTTTGACTCTAATTCAAGTCATCCTTTGACCACTGACGAGACTCTCGTCCCGAAAAAGTTAAGTGACTTGTCCAAAGTCAATAGTTAAAAGCAGACTCTGGGACTAGAGCCTAGACTAGCTAAAACCTGGGCCACTACATCACTTTACCTCCCTGAAGGTTCAGTTATGTGATACTTTCAGTGACTAGAGCCTCTAGTCCAGCACTGTCTCCAGTTCTTGTTGATTCTTGGGTGGCATGGTACCAAGGAACTATAATTTAGAGCCTGGGTAATCAAAATAACAAATATTTATTCACAAATCATTGCTCTGAGAGATAGTAATATAATTCTATACATATGTATAGGTACTGTTTTACTATTCTCAAAATACTTCTATACAGATTATGATTTAATCCTTAGAATAGCTGAAAAATGCAAGGTCAATAGGGCAGTCATTATCTTCATTTTTACAGAGAAAAGGGAAGTTCAGGGTGTTGATTGGCTTGCTCATAAGCAATATGTCTGCTAATAAGTGGTATAATCAAGGGCTAGAGGTGCTGTGGGCTCTGATAGCATAAAATACTATGGACTTTCAGGTTAGGGCCAATGGAAAAGCCATACTAGTCATTTATTTTGGACTTTGATATATCCTGCTGTGGCATTTCCTCTTACCATGGCAATGGGCTAGTTGGAATGTGCCAAATTGAAGTTCTTTTAAGGAGTACCGGGTGCTAACTGCTTTTAAAATCCAAATCTTCCAAATGTGATACTTTTCATACATTTTGTTTAGAAGAATGCAAAAATTTAAAAACTAAACAGCTCTTCCATTTAGTCACTATTGCTCCAGAATTAGAGTCCAGACAACTCCACTAATTTAAGATGTGACCTGTCACTCAGCCACCACCACCCCACTGTGTAAAGCCACTCACTCAACCTCTCCTAAGCCACATTGTCTTCAGCTATAAAATAGATTGATCTAGATATTATCTCAGTTCACTCTCAGTTCTAAAATTTTGTGATTCTAAGAAGAACAAGAAAACCACATTTGAATATGTTCATCATTTAGAAAAAGCTATCAATAAGTGGTCCAGTTCCTGGAGAAGGACATTGTGCTTGGTAAAGGAGAGGGTCGGTGAAAAAGAGGAAGACCCTCAACAAGATGGATTGACACAGTGGCTGCAACAATGGGCTCAAACATAACCACGATTGTGAGGATGGCATAGGACTGGGCAATGTTTCATTCTGTTGTACATAGGGTTGCTATGAGTTGGAACTGACTTGACAGCACCTAACAATGATAATAAGTGAAGCTGTGCAAATCAATATGTGGTCTTTGGTAGTTGAAAAATCTTTCTCTTCACACTACTAAAGCTCCTGGTATGTGCACCCAAATTAAATGTTGATTTATTGCAATTATGTACAAACTTGTCTGTATATTAATTGCCTGGGACACTTAAAACTTTTCATTGCTTGGGTGATCATGAACAATGTAATAGAAGTAGTGTTTGAGATTTTCTCAGGTTCCATGTGTAGGAAAGTGAGCAGAAGGGGTATTAGGGCAAAGATAATGAGGGCATGAAAAAGGGAATTTCTATCAGTGGGATAAGGAAAAGTTAAATCTGAGAGCTGTTTCGTAATCAATGATGACTCTATAACCAGTCAATCCAACTTTAGTCTACAGCATATTACATTCCTGAAAACATTACCTTGCAATTCCGTTGGATAAAAAGTTAAAATAGAACTGAGAGACAGGAGAACTTCTGTTGCCAGTCGGCTTCGGATCCTTGTGCATGTTATTTTATCTCTCGAGCTCATATATAAAATTAGAATTGTACTAGATGGCTTCAAAGGGTTCTTAAAATGCTTAAAAATATGATTACTTGATCCAGCCTTTCAGCACCTTTATGAGGTTCCTCGGTAATATTCCCGGTACTGCAATTGCTAAAACTGAGTCCATGCTGTTAGTCCTTGGCAAATGTACCTGTAGTTGTTTAATATTGATTGACGATCCACAGTGGGGCTCTCAAATTATGCACACAAAATGGGCTCTGCCCTTTAGGAGTTTTTATGTATCTAAGGGTTGGAATGTGGGTCAGACCCATTTGCATCTCACTGGTTTAGAATCTCATCCAAATACCTCTTGGGAAAACCCAGCGTTTTGGGTGGCAATGTTGTAATGTGGCAAAAGAACCTGGACTGGGAATTGGAAACCCTGGTTTTTAGTCCCGGCTCACTGTGTGAGTCTCAAAAGCTGATCGTTTGTTAAATTCCTTAAAACCCTGCTGGCAACCGATTTTTTGTATCTGACAAAAGAAAACCTAAAAGCCAGAAGATTCTAGTTTGAATCTTAACTCTGTTTCTGGGTTTTCATGGAGAAGTCACTTGCCCTCTTTGAACCTTGATTTTCTCAACTATAATGAGCATAATGCCTACATTGCAGGATGGCATGAAGGTTAAAAGAGATGGCCTGGCATGTTAGTTGAACTGGAATGAAAAATGCCAACTCTCTCCCAAAGATGTTGTGAAGATTCAGAGATGAAGGTCATGTTGTTATTTCTGTTGATGCACAAATATCATAAATTTGGTTGTTATCGTTGTTACTTTGTTTTTTAACAACAGAAAAGTAATT